TGAAGCACCTCAAGAACATGGACATGCTTGGACATAAAGAGGGACAAAGGCAGTCGAAACCTCAGAACATCTCACAACCCTCAGCAGTTCTTGCGAGTTTAGAAGCAAGAGCCCCAAAATGAAGTTGCCATGCGAGAATGGGTTGCCAATCACTTCCACAGCTCTAAAACGTCAAAGAGTCTCCTAGTCGAAGTCCTCTGCCCTTCCGCCTGAGACGTACTGATCAACAAACATCCACTCTACTGGACGGGGCACTCTTGCAAATTCACCTTCTTCAGCTTGGGCCACTGTGCTCGTTGTAGCGCTGCCCATGCATCACTGGGAATCTCATAGCAACTTTGCAGAAGAAGCTCCTACAAATGCAAAAGAGCAACTGGGCTTGGACATGCTTGCACAATGGGCAAAGGTGGCAAAGGGCTCCTCCAGCTCTTTGCTCGAAGCCAAGGCCATCAAAAGGTCTTTGGCTCCTTCTGCGCCTTCCGTGTCGCGGCTGAAGCACCTCAAGAACATGGACATGCTGGGACATAAAGGAGGGCAAAGGCAGTCGAAACCTCAGAACATCTCACAACCCTCAGCAGTTCTTGCGAGTTTAGAAGCAAGAGCCCCAAAATGAAGTTGCCATGCGAGAATGGGTTGCCAATCACTTCCACAGCTCTAAAACGTCAAAGAGTCTCCTAGTCGAAGTCCTCTGCCCTTCCGCCCAAGAGGCAGTGATCAACAAACATCCACTCTACTGGACGGGGCACTCGTGCAAATTCACCTTCTTCAGCTTGGACCACTGTGCTCTTTGTAGTGCTCCCCATGCATCGCTGGGAATCTCATAGCAACCTGGCAGAAGAAGCTCCTGGCGATAAAATTGCAAAGACAATTTTAACTGTCAAAGTGTTGGAAACAGGATTGCGCGGCTCCTCAGGGTTGTGGAGTGCCAAAATAGAAAAGCCCTCTACGATGCCCTTGTGCCCAAGTTCTTCAATGAAAGATTGGCAAAGCTTCAGCCTCGGATTGGACCAAACGGTCCACCTGTCCATGGAGGCTGAGACGGCTCTCAGCTCCTTCAGTGCAGACTTGTCCCACAGCAATGTGTAGTCTTCTGTGAGAGCCATGAGGATTGTGTCAGGCACCTGCCCAGGGTTATCCAACCAAACATTGCAAAAGCGTATCTGGCTTTGCGGAGCCTCTTTGGCACAGTCGAAGGCGGCTTTGACTGCTCTGTAGGTGATGACGCCGACATCATCTGCAGGCTTTTGGACATGTTTGGCTGTTACAAAAACCTTTGTCTCTCATGGCACCACATACATTCAGATCCCCATGGCTTCCCTAGAATTTTGAGATTAAGGGCGGGTCTTTTGTTATGTTTTTCAAACAGTGTTTTCGCGGTTGCTCACGTGCAGACAACGGGAAACATCGTCCACCTGCAAGACGCTGAAAGGTCTTGTTCTTCACCTGCAACACAGCGAAAACATGCAAAAGCATTCCCAGGGGGTAACAAGAAGGAAATTCGAATAGAAAACGACGCAGACGCACCACACTGCATTTCTTTCTCGAAAGCTTCCCATATCTGGCACAACATGGAACCATGGGCCTTCTTGCCAAAGAGTGCCATCCCTCCCAATCCCATCCAGCTCAGTACTGTCAATGCGAACCACATGGCGAGGAGCCAATCGGGTATGGCCTGACAAAACGATCGAAGTCTTGGCGTGGGGTTGGGGCGAGAGAATATAATCAGATTGATCAAAGAAGAACCTGCTAAAAATTCCAACCATGGACTGATTGCAAAGAAATGGCGACAACAGTCGCACTACAAATCGTTTTCGGCTGAACTACTTTTGGTCAGGTAAGCTCAGCTCCATGCCTTGGCTTCCTCGCTGAAGGTAGAATAACGGGCAAACGCCTGGGCAATGATGACAGCAGCTGCTGATGCGACCTTCATCTTCATAGTGTTTCCCAAGGGCATGAGTGACCGCGGCTCCAGAACCTGCCCTGGGTGGGCCAGGATAGCGGCCAAAACATGCTCCGTGGTCGCTTTCGTCAGAAAGAACTTTGCGAGCAGTGCCAGGCCCAAGGTCATTGCCGGGCCACCCATAGAGAATCCCTGGAAGCGCGTGGACACATGCACGAAGTTGATTGCCAGTACCTGGCTCGTCACTTCCAACACCCTGACAAGGGTTAAGGCAGCCAGCAGGAACGGTTCGCGGTCAAGTTTCAACTTGCCTGGCAGCCCCAAGACTCGAACGGGCTCTGTGTCACGGAACGCAAAGCCCATCCCAAGGAGACCACAGGACATGGTGATGGAAGCTCCAAGTCGTATGAAATCAGCTTCGCTGAGCTGCAGCGTGTCGAACTCCTCCGGGTGTGTCAAGCCGATCATTAAATTCTACAGTGTCCCTCACCCCCACACTGTCCCTCTCTCAACTCTCCTTCACACCAACGATCACGCACAGCAAATAATTGAACTGGATTAAAGCAGAGCACGCTGACTCCGCCACCTCAGCAGTCATCCAAAAAGCATTGCGCCCAGCTTTGATTCATCGCAGTCAAAATCGGTTCGACTCATTTCAGAAGCAACACCGGCCACCTAACTTGCCTACACGCACGGGCCCATGTTTGAACTCCCCTAGCCACCTCCGCGAGCTTGGTAGCCCCAAGCAATGAATGCTTCATGCAGTGCTTGGCAGACCAAGCTGTCAGCCAGAGCATCTGCATTTGGAGCGCGATAGCACCATAAGTGGCAAGCTCCAACCAATGACCGCTCAAGTGCACATGACGGGCCGCAGCTTTCAGTGCATCTAACTCTGGTGAGGGAGTGGCATGGAAATGCCAAATGTCCTGGTCTCTTGGCACAAGTTCAAAGAATGCATTGAAAGAAACTAAAGCCTTCCCCGCTGTCTCACGCCCATCAAAAACAAGACAATGTATAAACTTGCTATTGCTGCCCTGAGCGTCTCGCAGGCTGACTATCATAGGGAGCATCCTTGGATGTGTTCAAACGCCACCATCCATACATCATCCTGTAGGTTTGGGGACGATGAGTGAAACTGAAACTGCCAAGCATCATTCCTGCGAAGTTCAGCACGAAGTAGTCCATCATGCCAGTGCTGGCGAACAGTTGCAGTGAGCTTATGTCCGAGTAGACATCGAAATACCACGCGGCCTCAAGGTTGCCAATTTGCAGCAAAGTCATCCCTTCGTATTGGCAGATCCGCCGAGCCAAAAAACTGAGGCGCCGCGCACAATCCAGAACCAGCAGCTCAAACCAAAACCTAGGCCCCAGAAAACACATTGGCATGCCTTCATTCAATAAGAATGAAAGATTTGTATTTAGCTCCGCTTCCCCAAAAAAACAAAGTTCATGTCCCAGCAACATTGCTGTTTGCCCGGTGAGGTTCCGCGTGCTCCAACGCGAAGAAGACATCAACACAGCACCAAGAAGGTGATCACGTTCTTGGCCACGCATGCTGCGGAGCGTGGCGACCGTCTCTGTCGTGGCATGTCGAATTGGCGGAGACGTCCACAGGGGCACCGACACATCCAGCTCTGGCAGCTGGCGCCTCAGATCAGTTAGGCAAGGTTCCAACTTGCCTGGCGCGACTGTGACTCAGTTTGCAGTTCTTCCGGAACATCAGCCAATGAGTTCTCCTGCACATGATGGCGCTGTTCCCAGCCGAGACACCACTGCCCCTTCAAAGCTTTCTCTGGCCACTCGAAGTGTCCAGAGAGCCGCTCCAGGCGCAAAACAACTTGTTCCTGCCGTTTTTGGCATCTTCTCAGGCAACCCCACGAGCATCTGTAAGGTTTGTCAGCAGGTGACTGAGGATCTTCCTGAACCTCTTGGAGCTCTTGGCAAGGGGACTGGATGACGACTTGGGGGTTGAAGTACACGCTGAAGCCACTTTCTTTGTCCTTCACCTCGCAGGATGGCCCACAAACGCGAACATCATTGAACAACACCCGACAAGAAACACGGAGCACAACACCCACTGACCGACCAACCTTAAGCCTAAAAGAGAGGATCGTCCAGGCCTCATCAAGGCGGAAGCATAGGATCCGTTCATCCTTCTCCAACACGATGGTGAGTGGCGTGCAACTCTTCTCGTGTTCTTCGAACTTCTCAGGGAGCACCAGTTTACAAAGCTGATGTTTTCCATGATCCGCCACCTCCAGTGATAGGACCAGTCCAAAATCAGGAGCATCTTTCTTTGCCAGGTCGTTCACCACCAAAGCTCTGACAAAGCGCTGAGGTGCACGAGTCATGGTGCGTTCACCACCTGCATCATCCGACTCTAGGCACAGGAGTTCAGTCCTGACGTGCCACCCGGCGCAGCGCTGCGGCAGTCATGTACATCAACCCAAAAAAAATGCAGTTCTGGAGGGAAAAAAAACAACAAAACCGGATCGTCTCGTGCGTCCGAACTGCTTGGAGTTTGCAGCTGGAAGATGTTGAACACCTCTGCGCCGTGGATCGTGGCAGAATGGATCAGTGATATGCATTGATATGAGATTGCCGCTTCGTGGCATGGACAATTGTGACTTTCCCAGTAAACAAACAGCATGCAGCCGCAGACTTGAGAAAAAGAACGCAACATGTTCCTTTACTTCCCCTTTCACCAAGTCACCAATGACTTGGGCTATGGCAGCCGTTTGTGCATGAACAGGATCCGGCTGAAGGGAGCGTCTGCTCCTCAGCATAAACACCGTGCATCTTGCAAGCGACAGAAAAGAAAAGGACTGGACAATCTGCTCCACGCGTCCCAGTCACTCGAGCGGCTCTTCAATATTCAAGCAATGCATATTTTGACTCTCGTTGGGCTGGTCGTTAGGATCGCGGTCGGGCTCTTCGCCTGTGATTCAGGAGGATCCAGAGGTCCACTTGGCGAATCGAAGGATCTCACATTCAGGCTCGGCATTCGGATGAATTTCATCTCTCTTCTGGGCTTGGGAAAGGACTGGTCGAACAGGAAAACCAATTGAATCTGCTTCTGGAAGCATTGCACTGAGACAATCGATACGCATAAAGACGCTTCACTCGCCGCTCCGGTAAATGACCCCAAATCAACGCCAGTCGGCAAGAAATGTCTGCTGGTTAAAATCTGTCCACATACAGTATGTGTCATTAGCATGATGGAGTGCCAAACAGTCAGGTTGCCTCCCAAGGGTCCAGTGACTTCAGCGCCTGCGGTCAGCAAGACGAGCTGTGTGAAATTTCTGGAACTCCGGCGGGGGCGGCTGGGACAAAGTTCAAGGCAAAAGCCATATTCAAAGGCATCAAAACGTTCAACAAAGCAGTGAGTGTCTTCGGTTGTTGCTTGGGTTTCTTCTCTTGCCACTTCATGTCCAAACAGCAACCACCCCGTCCTTCAGCTCTGGCACATCCTGGATCAATGGGATTGCCTTCGGCTCCGCCTGCGTCTGGGGGGGCCGACAAGTTTACATCCAGGAGATGACTGATACGTCAGTCATTGCAAGCATTATGCTGCACAGTCATCAGGATTCCCACTTCATATGATTTACACACGCACCCAAAAATGGTATAGGTTTGCTAATGTTCATCGACTAACTAGGTGGAACAACTCACTTCGACATTTGTTCATCAAACACCCTGGGTTTGGGGGACTCACTGACTCACATCATGTCTCTGACGCTGTGCTCTTCAACGTCAACCTGACAAGATCTTCCGAGAGGTGTTCCCACAGATGCATTGGCCCACGTCTGGATGGTATACTGTGAGTACTTGCAGCCAAACAACACCTTGACTGTGCTTTGTTGGCCCCAACAGTGGCCCCCATCAATCCTCCTCAAACGCATCGGCAACCACGCGCCTCTTTTCTTCCTCCTCCTCTTCACCTTTGCCTTCGCCTTTGATTTCGCCTTTGGTCTTGCGGGTTTTGACTCCGCAGCTTCGCCAGGCGGCTGAACATCTTCAAAGTGATCCTCACGCGCTGCGCTGAAGAGCAGGTTCCAGCTTCCAAATGTTCAAAGAGCTTGCGCATCTGCAGCTGCACTGCCCCCGACACAAGACTCGCCAACAAAAGAAAACCCATGCCTCCTCAGGCTCCATGCTCTACCTGGCCAAAACGTCCAGGTTCAGCAACAGCCTGGCAGCGCTTGGTCTCATTGGGTGGATCCTTTTCCACAAAGTCTATATAACGGTCTAACCGTCTAACCGTTTTCCTGAAGCACGGAAGGGTCTGGGGTGACCGCGAAGTCACATGTGCCAAGGGGCGCTCCAACAAACGCAACAGCAAACGTCTGTGGAAAAAAAAGCACAGCGTGGTGTACCGTCGCGCCGTGGCGTTTCACGCTTTTTGACCCACTCTCGTGTGGTAGTGCGACGGTACGTTCAGCGCTTCCGTCGGGGTTTAGGGTGAAGAGCGACAAAACATTTGTTGGGGGGTGTATTGAATAGAGAGACCTCCCACTTCGACCCCCTGGGAAGAGTAACAAGAGACCAGTCCACCCATTTGGCCAAGGGGTTCTCCCTAACAACTTTACAACTTGGTGTTTGTTGTGCTTTTGCTGTGCGATTTGGATGCTTTCCTCAGAAATGTTCACACTCTATGCTGTTCAAAGGGGCGGGAGGGTTGAGGGAGCTTAGATAGAGGGTTTGATTTGGGAGACCAGGACAGTTTGTGCCTGATGCATTCGTACAAGATGGTGGTTTTGTTGTAGCACCTCAGAAAGGTGCTAAATGCATCGCAGCTTCAGTCTGGAAGAAAAGAAAGACTGCCAGCGGTCGAGTCTGGGTGCCTTGACCGCGTGGTGAAGGAGAGCGTCGGAGCGACCGAGGCTCGGAGTCACCTTTATGTCTTCGCACGGTGCACAGGTCTCCGTCCAAGCAACTCAAGGCACCCCCCTCCGCTTTGCGGCCCACCGCCGAATCTAAAGCGTCAAACCACCACCGCGCGTGCAAAAATGAAAACAGAAGTGCCAATCAAATCTCAAAGAGCCTGGCACCGTCACGCAGAAGGGAAGGTTTTGCAGACGTCCTGAGGCGCGTCACGAGGCGCGTCGCTTTCAAGAACTTCACCCACAGCGTCGGCGCAACATCACAGAGACGCTGTGACACCTTCTGAACCCCAAAGGTACTGAAATCGAAAAAAAAGATTGATAACAAAAAGTGCTTAGTGTCGGTGTATTATGGGTTAACAACCAGAAACTGCGGGTCTACCGAGAGAAAGTGCGTAAGAATATGTCGCTCGCAGCCTCACTTCTATTCTCCTTGTCTTCTTTTCAGCAAACTCTTGAAGCCTGAGTGAGGTGAGTGCGAAGATGCTTGCGCAGTTCTTGACAGATCTGTACTCGCTTTCCGTGAAGTCTCTATGGTTCTGCACGAGCTGTTTCTCAGGTTTGGACAAGTCAGCAGTTGCATAGAACAAGGCTAATGCATCGTGCATGTACTGAATTGTTCCAAGACAGCTGCGTAAGGAGTCCAGCCCGGGAAAGCATGACACAGTAAAGTGCCTACAATCTTACCATCAGCACAAAGCCAAAGCCCCAAGTTGCATGGCTAACTGCTCAATGACATCCAACTTCTTTCTCCCCAAAGTGCTCGACTGGAATCGACGTGACGATACATGCTGTTCCATGCAATCTACAAATCAAGATGCTGTGGATAAACGCCGAATTACGGCATTTCGCTGCCATCTTAACAGCAAACATAGTAAAAGCTATTGTCACAGCCTGTGCGCCTGTGATTGGGCCATGTTGGCTCAGGATGGATTTTTCAGCGATCTTCTGCTCAGCCACTTTAGGCCTTAGTGTGCCGCACTATCGTGTCAAATCATTGAAATCCAAGAATTGGTCCAAAGAATTGTCAAAGACACACCCAGATCAAACGACTAAACTTATATAA